ATGTGATTAAAAGTTGATTAAAAAGCAATGCCAAGTCAAATGCAGCAATGAAGGCAAATCAGCTGCATCTGCAGGGGCGTTACTGGCAGAGACAGAGGACAGAGATGTGATCATTCCATTAACTGCTTGTCAGGTCTCACCTGTGTCCAGTTGTCGTCCTCACAATTCAAAAAAAGATGTGGTCAGGCTGGAGAGGGTCCAAAGGAAGGTCACAAAGATGATCAAAGGGCTGGAGAACCTGCCCTGGGAAGAAAGACTGAAGGAATTAGGTCTCTTTTCCCTGGAGAAGAGAAGATACAGAGGACACCTCATCACAGTATGCCAGTGCTGAAAGGATGGCTAAAAGGAGGACAGAAGCATTCTCTTTGCAAGAAGGCACATGGAGGAGACAAGGGGCAACAGGTACAAGTTGTACCAGGAGACGTTTCATCTCAATATAAGGAAGAAATTTTTTTACAGTGCAAACAGTCAGTTACTGGGACAACCTCCCCAGGGTCGTGGTGGAGTCTCCATTGCTGGAGGTTTTCAAGATGAGACTGGACAGGGGGCTAGATAATCTTAACAAGGCTCTATTTCCTACAAAAGGTTGCGCCAGATGCTCTTTCAGGGTCCCTTCCAGCCTGGGCTGTTCTATGAGTCTGTGATTCAATGATTGGCTTTGTCCATTGAGTCATTTAATGGTCAGCTGGCAGAGGGATCTTCTCTGCCTGTTTGCTCAATCTGGGGAAGAACTGCAAGGTGGGTAGAGAGGAGATCTAAAGGGTGTTTGGATCACACAAGCTCTCCAACCACAGGCAGCCAGGTCCCCACCAGCCCTTGGTGCCCCTCAGCCTCATTGGGATTTTCTTAGGATGGTGCTTCCTAGCTTTGTGGAGGTCAGCAGATGGACCGGACTAGTGGTGGCAGTGTCAGGGGACAGTCACAGAACGATCCTCTGACACTGCTCATGGTTTGGGCAATGAAGGAGACCCTGGCACCGCGGGTGACTCAGCTGCAGGGCTACAGGTGACACCTCTCGTAAAGGGCAGTAGTTCCCCGGGGAGCGGGGTCGTTAGCCTGCAGGCTAATAATCTGCAAAATGTTGAAATGTATTTTCCTGGAAGGAGTAGATGAAGTGACCTCCATCTCGATGCTGGTCCCCCCGGGGCGTGCTGCTGGAGAGACGGGGGGGTCCCCACTGCCCCCGAAGCTGGGGAGGGTTTGTGTCCCCCAGCCGGGCTCTGCAGCGCGGAGCTTCCTTCCTTCCCCGGCTCTGACAGCCTGTAATCATTTTATCTCTCAGGATTAATGGCACCGAGCAATAAACCCGCATCCTAATTATTGTAATTATTCCTTTCTTTGTACATCAGCCTTGGTAACGATGTTTTTACAGCTGATGGGATGGAAGGGAGGGGAGAAAAGAAATATTGTCACAGTAATGAAGAGAGAGCAACGAGCATCCTCCTTTCCACTCACTTTCCTCAAGGTTTTAGAGCCCACTTGAGTTTCCTATTCCCTAAGGTCCCAGAAATTAGCAGTGATTGTCCTAATACCGCAAAGTAGCAGCAATCTAGGACTAAACTCCTAATTGATCTTAAGTACCTACCTGCCACTTTAGCCCTGGAGATGGCAGAATGTCTCCAAAGTCCCCTGCACACGTAAGTACCCGCTGGGTACTTGGAGCTGCCTGTTTCTCACAGCAGGAGTAGGTCGCTGCCTTTCCTGACCTCAGGTGTGACCCACAAGGGAAGGGTTGTGCCATCCTGTCTACGGGAGTTGCAGAGGGAGGGGGCAGAAGCTCATCTCATCACCGTTTGAAATTCCTACAGGCTTGCAGAGGGTGGCATCCAGCGCCTGTTTCTCCCCCAAGGCATCAGCACCACGATGGGAGGTTACGGTTCGAGCTGCTTCTCTCAGCCGCTGCCCAGGAATGTCTTCCAGTGCCATAGCCCAGGTGCTGGAGAAGAAGAGCAGCCTCTGCCCACCCACTGTAACCCCGAATCCAGAGCACGGGCTGGGGGGAACCCAGGGTCTTTGGGGAAGGTGTGCTTGGCTGCTCTGTGGGGCAGCAGCTCTGGCTTTAGAGTAGCTGCTACTGGAGACGCCACAGAGGAGGCTTTACTAGAACTGTGGGCAGCTGAGATGCCACAGAGGAATTCGTGAAGCACCCATGTCCCCGTTTAGAGACCCAACACTAGATGCCTGAGGTGGTACTTAAGGCCAGACTTCAGCTGTGCAGCACACTGTCAGCTGGGAAGGGCTGGTGGCTGCTGGGCTGCTGTTCCCAGGGTCACCTACAGCGTGGATGGAAAGCTCTTCGCAGAGGGTCCTCCCTCTGTCCATCCCCTTCTTCCCACCCAGATCAAATGCTCCGTGCAGAGCAGTCTCCTCGGGTAACGAGCTTTAAGTATTAGACACATCCCATATGTAAATGGCAACAGCCATTAAGGTCCTTTTCTGTGCTTGGTGTGAGGTGTGTCATCTACACCAGTGTGTCCACACCAGAAAATTAAGACTTAGCTGAGGCCATTCATGGGCAGTGGACCTTGATCATCAACACCGCTGGAAGCAGCCCCAGGCTCCGTGCTCCACACTGGTGTTTCATTTTATTGCCCGTGATGGGGAGCTCGGCAGCCAGCTCGCTCCAGGGGATCTTTCCTTTATTTCGGACTTTGTTTGGTTTTTCTCATTTCACACAAAAAAGTTGCTAAATTAACCCATTTGCTTTTTTTTTTTTTTTTGGTCAAGCTTTGAGTAGGGGTGCTTTGTTAATGATCGAGCAGCATTTGATGATCAAGCAAAGCTGCTCTATACCACAGTCCATCTCTGACACTGGACTCTCTTCTGCCCAGCACATCCCAAACCACATTCCAATTCAAATAAGCTTCCATCTCCTTCAACTTCACTATTTAAAAAGTAAAGTGAAGCACAAACAGCAACCACCACCCCGTGGCCTCATTTCTAAACTCCCACCCAGCTGGTTCCAGCAGCCCCTCCAGCACATCGAGAGTCTCCTCATGGAATGGGACCGTCCCATCCCATCCCATATTGTGCCTGTCTTGCTTTTAAATAGGAACTTCTTCCATTACAGAGATGGGCTTCCACCCCCCAACAAATATTTTAAGTCCTAAACCGCAGTTGAATTTGCATGTTTGTCCAATTCACAGGGTCAGCTGCTCCTGCCACCTCCGCTCCCTCCGTAGGGACCTCAGCCCTGGCAGCAGTCCCTGCCGGGCAGTGCCCTCTCCACCACCAGCTCTGGCTCCTCTGGAGGTGGGCTCCTCTTTCAGAGCTGTCTTTCAGGATGACACTTGCTTTACTCAAGTCCTCATTCTTCCCCATTTCTCCCTGACGTTTCAGAAATAATTACCAGTGGTTCAGTAAGTTCATTAGCAAACTCCCTCAGGACCCTGGGCTATGTATCATCCAGCCCTGCTGATTTGTGGATAGGCTCTAATCAAGTGTTTCAAGTCTCTCTCTCCTTCCTCCTCCTTTCAGATTAACAGTTATTTTGACAAGATTCTCATTATTTCCTATTTCCTGGCGGTACCCAGGGACTAGGCTTATTTGAGTCCTCACTGTTGTCATTGTGGGTTTATTTTTAACCTCGGGCTCTGCTTCTCCACAAGGACATCAGAGTTTTGTGTTTTTCAGAAACACGCTACTTTGTCGGTGCCATTTTAGTCTCGGTTAATCCTGGGTCTTCCAGCGCTCCCTGTCTTTTGCCTTTATCACTTTTCATTCTTCTTCTTCCTGCTAATTCAAAATTAGCTAAAGAAATGACTGTGCTTTAACCAAGCCTACAGGGTTACTACCTTTCTCCAGCTTCTTAGATCCAGGCCACCTTCTTGGCTGCATTTAATTTGTCTTCCTCTCCTTCTTTTTCTCCCTGCTGTCCTCCAGCAGGCACTCTCCAAGTCTCTTTTCCTTCCCAACACAACCATCCACCAGCTGCTCTTGGAAGGGACCCATCCACCAGAAAAAACACTGCCAGCCCCCTCCATCTTAACATCTTTAAATGTTGGGGGACAAACTCAGGCAGAAAAGCAGAGGGGAGGCAGCAGGGAGAACACAGCAGCTCTGCAGAGGCTTTTCCCACCTGGCTGTGCAGACTACATGGTCCTTCTGCCCCTTCCAAATACACACATGGGAGCCCAGCCCCACGTTGTCCAACTTCATTAGCACAAAGCAAGTGTCATGCCCTGCACATGATTACTGGTGAGGCCAAGGGGGTAAGTGGAAGGAGGGAGGAGGAAGAGATGAGGCTGAAGGGCAATTTTCTTTCAAATACCTCTCACAGCTCTGCACCTTCCCTCCTAGCAAGAGCCTACGGACCATGGGATTAGCCCAAGCTCATTATCCTTGATTTGCAAGAGGTGGCTGAGGTCAAACATTTTCATTTTTAAAGCACAGTAAGGTTTTTCTGTCTTCTTCAGAGGGCAGCAGACAGCTCCTCTGCCAAACCCTTGCCTGCACATCCCAACAACCAGCTCCTGTGCCCTGGGTTGGCTTTTGACACCAGCCCTCCTGGGTGCACAAGGACAGGTCAGCAGGACCTCCAGGCTCTGCCACCATGGAAGGGGCTGAAGCAACAGAGCATTTTTTTTTTGGGGGGGGGGGGAGTTTCCCCTTCCTACCTCTCTTGTGGTTTTCCAAGTGGGCAGGGACCTTGGATTGCTTCTTCGTGCGCGTGGTGTTACGGGATGTGTGGTCCTGCCACATTTGCTGCAGATCCCATCCATATGTGGGCTGGAGGAACATCTCACTTGGACTAATTTCTGTTGCTTAAATTAGAGACAACATTTCCTTACCAGGAAGGAATACAAAAAGGATTAATTTGAGGGAGAAAAAGGGAGAGGGAAGAGAAATGCCCACACGCATTTATATAGATAATAATAAAAGGTGTGTTCATTGTTTACGTGATGTCACAAAAGACTGGGTTTGTTCTCATCCTAAAAAGAAAACTGTTGGGAAAGAAGACTAACTAAAACTTACTTTTTTTTTTTCTTTTTAAAATACAGCGCGGTGGTTCTGGATGGAAAAATTTATGCCACGGGTGGGATCGTTAGCAGCGAAGGGCCTGCCCTGGGAAACATGGAAGCCTATGACCCCAAAACAAATACGTGGACACTTCTACCAAATATGCCCTGCCCTGTGTTTCGACACGGCTGCGTAGTAATCAAGAAGTACATCCAGAGCGGCTGACGCTGCCCAGGAGCTGGACAGAGAACTGTTTGTACCTGTCGACAGCGGGCAAGGAGGATACTACTACTTCAGAAACGCAGCAAAAAGCCAGCCAGTGAACATATTGCTCTAAAGTCTTGAATAGTGTCTACATTGAATGTAGAAAAATCATCCTCACCTTTTGGTGAACAAGGAGCAGAGAGCTCCGTGCTATGTAAGATATTGTAACTTAATAATACGAGGGTGTCACTAGATGTTATAGTGGCACTTGTTCTGGACGTCGGCTTTTGGTCAACCCAGGTGCAATAGAATTTCACTTATTTTTTAAGCTGGGGAAGAGAGGAAAAAAAAAAAATAATCTGCATTTTACTTCTAGAGCTCAAGCTTGATTCTTAAAATAACCATGCAGATTAGTTTTACTATTACACTTTAGGCATCAATCTATTTGAGAGGTCAAAGTGTCCTTACCACTTTGATTCCTACATTTGTTTTTAACAAATACATGCTTTTCAATACCAATGCCTGAGAGAAATCTTGTGTGACAGATGGCTCACGTCGATGTCAGTCTTCCATCAGATCAAAGGAATCTTTCCTTTCTGGAGAGCAGAGCCCAGAGGGGGAGGGGGAGGTAGGGACTGGGGGGGAAGAAGAATAGCCATTGGTAATAAATTCCATGTAAAACGATGAGGAGAGAAAAGAAAAGAAAAAAGAAAAGGTCTGTTGGGCTGGATGAGTTTCTGCTCCCGGTGACACTTGTGTGGGCGCATGGGGCCATGCCCGGGGCAGGGGGGGGCACTTCTAACCTTCTCCTCCCGGTTTCTGCTGATGGGTGAACTCGGCAGCGCTTGATCCCCGTAATGCACAACGAGAAGGCTTGCAATTCCAGAGGCATTCTCCTGCTCTTCCCTTCTTCTGATTGGGATCACATCAAAACGCCCGGCGTAGCCTGGGATTGCTACGTTTTCAGCCAACGGAGAAGATGCCTCAGTTTTGGCTCTCAACCAAAATCCCTTACGTTGGGATTTACGCCACTATCTTTCATGTAGAGTCTCAGAAGTTGTTTTTTTATTTTATTTTATTTTTCAAGTTTCCCCATAGGTGTGGAAACCTTATACTCCTCTTATTTACAGATTTTAAACACATGAGTTAAAATCCCATGGTAGAAAAATGCATAGGCTTAAGCCCAGTATAAGAGACTTAAAGCGATTACTATGTAGAGTTGTAAGTATATGCACAGCACAGGGGTTATATTTTTATATATATTAAAATATTGTCTATCCAGAGAGCATTGTGATGTGGAAATTCTTTATAAATTTATACATAAAAAGGATCAAATGGGAGATGGACCGGGTAACGTAGAAGGGGCAGGGGAAAGAATCTTAACATTCACAAGTAAGAAGTAACCCCAAGCTAAGGATTGCCTGATTTCTTTCCAAGTAGAGGGAAAAAGTTGCCATACTTGCCTTTGCAGACTCAAATCCCAAATCAGCATTCATTGGTAATTAGAGGAGTAACTTGAAGCAAGGGTTAATTCCAACCAAGTGGGCAGGGACCTTGGATTGCTTCTTCGTGCGCGTGGTGTTACGGGATGTGTGGTCCTGCCACATTTGCTGCAGATCCCATCCATATGTGGGCTGGAGGAACATCTCACTTGGACTAATTTCTGTTGCTTAAATTAGAGACAACATTTCCTTACCAGGAAGGAATACAAAAAGGATTAATTTGAGGGAGAAAAAGGGAGAGGGAAGAGAAATGCCCACACATCTTTGTACAGATAATAATAAAAGGTGTGTTCATTGTTTACGTGATGTCACAAAAGACTGGGTTTGTTCTCATCCTAAAAAGAAAACTGTTGGGAAAGAAGACTAACTAAAACTTTTTTTTTTTCTTTTTTAAATACAGCGCGGTGGTTCTGGATGGAAAAATTTATGCCACGGGTGGGATCGTTAGCAGCGAAGGGCCTGCCCTGGGAAACATGGAAGCCTATGACCCCAAAACAAATACGTGGACACTTCTACCAAATATGCCCTGCCCTGTGTTTCGACACGGCTGCGTAGTAATCAAGAAGTACATCCAGAGCGGCTGACGCTGCCCAGGAGCTGGACAGAGAACTGTTTGTACCTGTCGACAGCGGGCAAGGAGGATACTACTACTTCAGAAACGCAGCAAAAAGCCAGCCAGTGAACATATTGCTCTAAAGTCTTGAATAGTGTCTACATTGAATGTAGAAAAATCATCCTCACCTTTTGGTGAACAAGGAGCAGAGAGCTCCGTGCTATGTAAGATATTGTAACTTAATAATACGAGGGTGTCACTAGATGTTATAGTGGCACTTGTTCTGGACGTCGGCTTTTGGTCAACCCAGGTGCAATAGAATTTCACTTATTTTTTAAGCTGGGGAAGAGAGGAAAAAAAAAAAATAATCTGCATTTTACTTCTAGAGCTCAAGCTTGATTCTTAAAATAACCATGCAGATTAGTTTTACTATTACACTTTAGGCATCAATCTATTTGAGAGGTCAAAGTGTCCTTACCACTTTGATTCCTACATTTGTTTTTAACAAATACATGCTTTTCAATACCAATGCCTGAGAGAAATCTTGTGTGACAGATGGCTCACGTCGATGTCAGTCTTCCATCAGATCAAAGGAATCTTTCCTTTCTGGAGAGCAGAGCCCAGAGGGGGAGGGGGAGGTAGGGACTGGGGGGGAAGAAGAATAGCCATTGGTAATAAATTCCATGTAAAACGATGAGGAGAGAAAAGAAAAGAAAAAAGAAAAGGTCTGTTGGGCTGGATGAGTTTCTGCTCCCGGTGACACTTGTGTGGGCGCATGGGGCCATGCCCGGGGCAGGGGGGGACACTTCTAACCTTCTCCTCCCGGTTTCTGCTGATGGGTGAACTCGGCAGCGCTTGATCCCCGTAATGCACAACGAGAAGGCTTGCAATTCCAGAGGCATTCTCCTGCTCTTCCCTTCTTCTGATTGGGATCACATCAAAACGCCCGGCGTAGCCTGGGATTGCTACGTTTTCAGCCAACGGAGAAGATGCCTCAGTTTTGGCTCTCAACCAAAATCCCTTACGTTGGGATTTACGCCACTATCTTTCATGTAGAGTCTCAGAAGTTGTTTTTTTATTTTATTTTATTTTTCAAGTTTCCCCATAGGTGTGGAAACCTTATACTCCTCTTATTTACAGATTTTAAACACATGAGTTAAAATCCCATGGTAGAAAAATGCATAGGCTTAAGCCCAGTATAAGAGACTTAAAGCGATTACTATGTAGAGTTGTAAGTATATGCACAGCACAGGGGTTATATTTTTATATATATTAAAATATTGTCTATCCAGAGAGCATTGTGATGTGGAAATTCTTTATAAATTTATACATAAAAAGGATCAAATGGGAGATGGACCGGGTAACGTAGAAGGGGCAGGGGAAAGAATCTTAACATTCACAAGTAAGAAGTAACCCCAAGCTAAGGATTGCCTGATTTCTTTCCAAGTAGAGGGAAAAAGTTGCCATACTTGCCTTTGCAGACTCAAATCCCAAATGCCGTGCCCATAATTCAAGGAGGGTCCTACCCAGGGCGTGGGTGAGCTCTTACAGTCAATATCTGGTTGAATTTCATACCAAATACGCTAGCCTTTTTATACGGAGGGAGGTCTGCCTACAGCTTCGGGGAAATCAATGCAGATGGTTAGCTAATCATCTTATTTTATTAATAATCGTTTCTAAAATAAAAGAGAAAAAAAAATGAGATTTGTATCTTGCAGTATTTAAAGCAAAAGTGCTCAAGTCAGCTGAGTCAAGCTGTAGGGCGACTCAAGTCTCTCATTTTGACAGTGAGGTTCCAGCCTTTGTTATGCAGTTGTTTTATTTATTCTTTAAAGGAAAAAAAATAATAAGCACAACAAAATTATATACTAGTATGTCATTTAAAGTATTTATGTCAAACAGGGTGCAAGTGTGAACCTAAAGATTGGAGCACAAGTTTCTAACTGCCTGGGGCAGGACTAATTTTAGTGTTGGTGTGTGTCTGCCTCCAAAGGAGGTGCTACCTGTCAACAAGACCGAAACACATTCAACATTTCCAATTTAGCTTATTTCTTCATTTCTCACACTGGAACAAAACTGGCTATTTCTGTGAATAATATTAAAAACAGGGTTATCTGTAATGGTATTGTATATAGTTTATGTTTACTGTTAAGTTCTTGTTATATTATAATAAATATATTTATAGATCTAGATTCAGCATCCAGATTGGATTAATTTTGTCACGACTGACCAAGGAACAGCACTGCATGGACAGAGACTTCAGGTCTCACCCAGCCGTGGATGAAAACGGGTTCATTCCATCCACTAGTTTCTCCTCCAGATCCAAAAATTTATAGCTAATATTTAAACGCTCGGTAGCTTCCAAAGCTCTTCCATTCTCATTGCAGAAAAAATTCTTAGAAGTGATGGACTGGATTTAATTCAGCAAGGATGGTTCTTCATCTCTTTCCCCAAATTTAAGAGTAAGTAAAGAACAAAAGCGCTCAAGATAGTTGAGGAAACGATCCTGAAAAAACACTGATAAACAGATTTGTGTGTGTGTGTGTGTGTGTGTGTGCCTGTGTTTTGTTTTAAAGGAAAGTCAGGATTTACTGCCCGGCTGCTGCCGTGGCTGAAGGATGAAGGTGGCTTTTGCCCTACGGTCCAAATTCCTTCGTGTCCAGAGGGGAGCTCTGTGCCTCACTGGATACATCTTTCAGAGAGCACTTAAGTGCAACCATTTCTGGTTCCTTTGATGTTTCATTAGGGTGTCATCTGGTGGTTGTAAAACTGGATATGGAACAAAGATGAGCCAAATATAACTGCTCTCAAATGCCACCGCAGTGGAACGTTGCAGCTGGATCTTAGGAGGCAATATCTGTCCTACACGTTAACGGGAAGGACCTAACACACACTGAAATTGTCTCCGGTTCTTACAGAGTGCATCTATGCAAGTGTTTAAGAGCATGAGAGGTGGCTTTTAAACATTTTAGTTGAGGTGCAGTGGCTGAGGTAGAACAGCCTGTGGAGACGACTAAAAGCCTCGCAATTCAATCCGACCCCGCAGCGCTGCACTAACCCAGACCAAGTGGAATGAGTTGCCAACCTTTCCATCACCGCTCCGCGGAGATCTCTTACTCAGCACCAGTCAATAATACTTGGTAGGATGAACAAGACACAGGCTATTTGCTTTACTCCTCTGTGGAAATTATTTTAGTTCCCCTCCGGGAAGTTGGCCGAGCGCGTTTGCCAAATGACTCATGTGCACACACCTGCTCCGAGATTTTTCTTCGTAAAAGCTGTAAGAAATCCAGGGGAGAGGCTGATCAAAATCATGATCAAAACTCTTTTCTTCGCTGGTTGCCTCTCCCCTGGCTCACCTGGGCAGGCCAGTGGTCTCCAAAGGGGGCCGTTGGCCGCGCTCAGGTGACCACCTCCCCCTGACAATGTACTCGCCCACCTTCCTCCCGGCGTTTCATCCGCCGGCAAACACGCTGTACTAATAAAACCTCAGCAACCCCGTCTTTTAATTAACTGCAGCTAGGTGTTAAGGCTGAGCTTAGCACAGTGCAATTGGAGTGAGCTAATTAGAGCATTCGTTACACTTCAGCTTGCCCTTGGCAGAGTCCGGAGGAGCCGAACGCCGGCCCCAGCCCCGGCTCCACGGGGATCTGCTGGGAGAGGAGCCTCAGATGGAGCTTCTGCCCAGCTCCAGGAGCACGGCCTGGTTTCATCCCCCCCATCACCCACTGAAAAAGGTGACTTAATATTCAAGGTGGGGACAGACCCACAGCCAGGGTGCCCGTCGGGCTGTGCCCATGCCAGGTCCCAGATGCCGACTCCGTATCAATGTGACATTTTTACAACGTGTCCCGCTGAGACAAGCTTTTCAAATTGGATGGGAGCCTTAAGCTCAGCCCTTAACACCTCAGTTCCCACTTCAAGTCGGCTCAAAAACAGGAGCTGAAATTGGCTTTTGGCTGAAGTAGATGCCAGGAAAGGCAGCGGGAAGTTCCCATCGTCGGCAAAGCGTTCTGGGGTGATAACTTTACAACTTTGGGAAAATCCAGGAAGAGAGGGCTCTGAAGAGAAGCAGATGGATATGTCTTGGTCACAGCGACACCATCACCCCTTACATTAAGCCGGACAGTGACACCAGAACAGAAACACCTGTTTTTCCCCCAAAAAGCCGATCTGTTTGAGACCTGATGAAACACGCGCTGAGCTTAGAATTCATGGAAGCAGGAGCTGCCATCACGGGCTCCCCCGCACGGTCTCCAGCTGCTGGGGACGGGGAACAACAATGAGGTGGCAGAAAACCTTGAGAAACAACTCTCCCTTTGCCAGTCACCAGTGTTGTTCCTTTTGATAACACACACCACTTTTAGTAACTCCTGTTTAGCTGGCGGAATTCT